CTCGTTACTGGGATTTAGATAGGGTCGTTACTCGTTACTTCGCGTGGTGGCATCGCGGAGCTTCCACAGATTCAGTAACATTAGCAAGTGGATGAAGGAAAGGGACGCAGAAGGAAAAGAGACCCGAGGCGGCCGCCGGTCCAAGTGTGAACTGAACTTCAGGTAAGAAGTTATGACCTGCAGTCTCTCTGGGTCAGATATGAACCAAGTTTAGGTGGAGTTTATTTTCGTTATTCTGACTTTTTCCGTACTGCGTGCTAGCTAGCATGACGGAGTTTCTATACAGCTGGGTGGTGCTATGATGTTAACGATGTTAAACTTTATTTTGTTCATAAGTTATTAGAGTTGCCAACCGTCCCGTCTGGTATTCAGAGAAAATATTACGCGTTTCGTATTGAGGTGAAAAGGAACAGTTTGTCCCGTAATTCAGCTACAATGAAAAAGACACAAAGCTGGAGTTATTCTGTGTCTTTGCTGCACAGCTGCCTCTTCTCTCATTCTCCCCCCTCCCTCTCCTGTTTCTACTTCAATCATGAAACTGATCAATGATCAGCTGATCGCTCTCTTGTTTGTTTATCGCCCACTTTGCGCCAGAAAGAGGAAACCAGCTGGATGTCGCGCTAAACAACAGCAGCACGTTTAAGCTTGATCAGCTGTTGTTAGAATTTATTTAATATTAATTTCTAGTATCAGCTGATGTTTGCTGGAGCCACAGCTGTAAAGCTGCTGGTCATGATATCGGTTTGGTATATCTGGTGAGAGGGAAACATGAAGATGAAACCAGGAGATGTCCTTACTGGATCATCAGAGCTGAACAGGTGATGGAGAAACAGGTTTACCTTTTAGGTGACATGAATGAGTTGAAGGGAAGTTATGAACTGTTTCTGAGAGACAAATAACACCAGGATCCTTTTTTAGGTAGCTGACAGCTGGTAACTGTGCAGGGGCGGGTCTAGCAAAGTGTTGCCAGGGGGGCAGGTAGGGCATTAACAGGGAGAGGGGGGCACAAAGAAATACTTTTCTTTCTTATTCTCATTTAAAATGTCTAGCTTTTAAAAAATAATTATCTGAATCTTACAACAAACGATTGATAGATTGATGCATATATACCATCAGAACAGTGAACATCACTGTCACAACAGTGTTTATTTTCATTCAAAGGCTTTAACGCGTTCCTGATTTTGGCATAATAACTAGTTACCGTGCTCGTTACCACAATAATAACGTAGTTACTGTAACGCGTTACTTAATAACGCGTTAGTCCCAACACTGGTCATCAGTGATGTTTCTGATATACTGAGCGTGTTATCGATGCTGCCGGCAGAGCGCCAGTGAGTGAAGGTCACGCTCACGTGTCTAATCACTGATCACACTTCCTGAAGTCAAATAAAAGACCTCTCTAACAAAAGCCTGGAAACACAGAATCAGGCCGAGCTAAAATTCTTTCCCCGCGTGACCACGTCACCAAGTTCCTGTCACATGACCAGAACTTGTTCATGTGACAGGAACTCGGTAACTCAGTGATGCTCGGTGAACTCGTTTGTGTCAAAAGCTCGTTTGTTGCTTCCACTGTCAGCAGGACGGTGTCCTCGCTTGTATTCAAAGCTCAACATCGCTCAACCGCTGCCGTGTCCTCGGGTTTACCTGACACCCGCTGACCAATCAGCATTTGGCCATTTAAATGGCGTCGCTGCGGTCTGGCTTGGGCCGTGAGGGGTTTGTGAAGCAGGCGCTGCTAAGCAACAGCCTCCTGCCTCCCAGGCCTCTGACCGCCGAGGACGCTGGGAAAGTTCTCACCTCATTCAGGAGGAGCAGCGAGGCACAAAACAACTTTATTTAAGCTCCAGGCCTGAAACACAAAGAAGTTAAAGGCTCCTGGAAAAGAGGAGGCGAGCGGCGTGAATGATTCATGAGGGGCCGAATGCTGCACACACACACACACAGTCTGAATTGTGTATGTGTGTGTGTGTCTGTGTGCGCGCAGAGCGGGGGTCAGTGTGGAAATGAAGCCCGAGCTGCAGCGGGTGCTGGAGTCCAGGAGGAGAGATCAGCTGATCAAACAGAGGAAGGAGGAGGACGAGGCTCGCAGGAAGGTTTCTCCTCTGGAGGCCGAACTGCTGAAGAGACACAAGAAGCTGGAGGAGGTAACACACACAGACACACACACCAGTGAATCACAGCGATGTGAAATTAAAAAAGCTGTGACGCTCTGTGTGTCACTTTACACAAGTTCAAAGACTTTCACATCGTTTCTCCGAAAGCTGATTCTGTTCATCTGGACGTTTTCCGTGGGAGAAACGTTTCGTCTGTACATTTGCATGATGACTGAAACCAGCCCACTGAAGGAACAATGGGCTGTCCAGCTGTTTATAAACGTGCTGTTTATAAGGTTGGAAACCTGCAGTCAGCTGAGACTGAAGAAAGCTGCATGATGACGAAACGCTTCTCCCACTGAAAACGTCCAAACGAACAGAATCAACCTTTGGAGACCTGGATGCAGCGTCAAGACGCTTCTCATCGTTTCTTCATGAAGTGCTCGCTGTGTGTGTGTCTGTGTGTGTGTGTCTGTGTGTGTCTGTCTGTGTGTGTGTGTGTGTGTGTGTGTGTGTGTGTGTTGTCGTGTGCTGTTGTCTGTGTGTGTGTGCTGTGTGTGTGTGTCTGTGTGTGTCTGTGTGTGTGTGTGTGTGTGTTGTGTGTGTGTGTGTGTCTGTGTGTGTGTGTGTCTGTCGTGTGTGTGTGTGTGTGTCTTTTGTTGTGTGTGTGTGTGTGTGTGTGTGTGTCTGTGTTGCTGTGTGTGTCGTGGGTGTGGGTGTGTCTGTTGTGTGTGTGTGTGTGTGTGTGTTGTGTGTGTGTCTGTGTGTGTGTGTCTGTGTGTGTGTGTGTGCGTATGTGTGTGATGTGTGTTTTGTGTCGGTTGTGTGTGTGTCGTGTCTGTGTTGTGTGTGTGGTCTGTGTGTGTGTGTGTGTCTGTGTGTGTGTGTCGTGTGTGTGTTGTTGTGTGTGTGTGTCTGTGTGTGTGTGTGTCTTGTTGTTGTGTGTGTGTCGTGTGTCTGTGTGTCTTGCTGTGTCTCTGTTCGGTGTGTGTCTTTTGTGTGTGTGTCTGTGTGTGTGTGTCTGTGTGTGTGTGTCTGTGTCGTGTGTCTGTGTGTGTCTGTGTGTGTGTGTGTGTGAGTTGTGTGTGTGCTGTGTCTGTGTGCTGTGTGTGTGTGTCGTGTGTGTGTGTGTCTGTGTGTTGTCTGTGTGTTGTGTTTGTGTCTGTGTGTGTTGTGTGTGTGTGTGTGTTGTGTGTGTGTCTGTGTGTGTGCTGTGTGTGTGTGTGTGTGTGTGCTGATGTGTGTCGGTGTGTGTAGTGTTCTGTGTAGTCTGTGTGTGTGTGTGTGTGTGTGTTGTGTCTGTGTGTGTGTGTGACTGTGTGTTTGTGTGTTTGTGTGTGTCTGTGTGTTGTCTGTGCTGTGTCTGTGTGTGTGTCTGTGTCTTGTGTGTCGTGTCTGTGTGTGTCTGTCTGTGTGTGTGTGTGTGTGTGTGTGTGTGTGTGTGTTGTTGTGTGTGTGTGTGTGTGTGTGTGTGTCTGTGTGTCTGTGTGTGTGTCTGTGTGTGATGTGTGTGTGTGTGTGTGTGTGTGTGTCTGTGTGTGTGTGTGTGTGTGTGTGTGTGTCTGTGTGTCTGTGTGTGCTGTGTGTGTGTGTGTGTGTGTGTGTGTCTGTGTGTCTGTGTGTCGTGTGTCTTGTGTGTGTGTTGTGTGTGGACTGAGTGTGTATGTGTGTGTAGGTGTGTTATGTGTCACAGTCATGTTGGTGTGTTGTGTTGTGTGATGTGTGTGTGTGCTTTGTGTGGTGTGTGTGTGTGTGTCGTGTTTGTGTGTGTGTGTGTTGTGTGCTGTGTCTGTGTCGGTGTGTGTTGTATTGTGTGTGTGTGTGTGTGTGTGTGTGTCTTTGTGTGTGTGTGTCTCTGTGTGTGTTGTGTGTCGTGTGTGTCTGTGTGTGTGTGTGTGTGTGTGTGTGTGTGTGTCTTGTGTAGTTAGTGTGCTGTCTTGTGTAGTTAGTGTGTGTGTCTTGTGTAGTTTGTGTGTGTGCCTGTGTGTGTGTTCTGTGTATGTGTGTGTGTGTGTGTGTGTGTGTGTGTGTAGTGGTGTGTGTGTGTGTGTGTGTCTGTGTGTGTCTGTGTGTGTGTCTGTGTGTCTGTGTGTGTGTGTGTGTGTGTTGCTCTTCATCACCACCTTTCTCTTTACATTGGAGCTTTGTCGTCTCGATCACAGCTTATCATTGTGTACCTGCAGTCGTTCTTGTGCGCTCACCTGAAGCATGTAAACCTGTGGCAGCAGTCGCAGGATGAGAAGCGCGTCGCTGCTCAGTCGGCGTTAAAGCAGCAGGTTTTCTGTATGCTGCGTGTGCTGCCCATGACCTTTGACCCTGGTCTTGCTGATCTGAGGGGGGTGAATCCAGATGTTTCTGCGTGTTTGTGTCCTCAGCTGGAGAGACAGCAGGAGCAGGAAGACCTGAGAGCCCCCGAGTTCGTCAAAGTCAAGGAGAACCTGAGGAGGACGTCTGTTCAGGGCAAAGAGGAGAAGGAGGTGTAGAGGCAGCGGGAGCGGAGACGGCGAGCGTCCAAAGACACAGGTGCCGGCAGCTGGACGGCTGTGATGCCTCTCGGCAGCTCGGGTCGGTGGTTCTGAATCAGGACGCTACAGAGCAACACGAGCAAACGACAACTGCCTCTGTGAACAGATACGTGCGACTAAAGCGAGGAGACAGCAGGAGGCGCTGCTGCACAGATAGGGAAGGACTCTTGAACCTGTGCTGGTTTGAGTCTGAGGCTACGTCCACACTAATGCGTTTTCATTCGTTTTCTCTCCATTTTGGCCTCCCGTCCTCACCGAGACGCCGTTTTCCCCAAAGGAAAACGCAGCGTTTTCAAAACGCTCTCGAAAACGCACACATTTGAAGACGGTGCTTTCCCGTCGCAGTGTGGACAGCGAGAAGGGAGACTTTTGAAAACGATGACACATGTTAGTCACGTGATGCAGTCATGTGACCAGTTAAACTAAGATAGCGGAGGGCGTTACACAGCAGCTGTTTCGTTTGACAGTCCTATTAAAGATGAACATCAGTCTGCACGCGCTCCAGAGAGCTTTTCTTCACATTCTTTAATTCTCACTTGCTTTTGCAACTTTTTACTTTTGTGTTACTCGCAGCAACGACTCCACTTCATTGTTAGTCCGTTTGAAAAACTCGCTGCTTTTCCTGCGACGTTTCAAAGAGCAGGAAAGTAAATAAGCGGCAGACAGAAATGAGGCAGGCCGAATCTTCTTGCGCTTCATGCGCAGCACTGGAACGTCAGCGTTTGCAGCTATTTCAGTGTGGACGCACAACTCTGTGAAAATGACTGAAAACGCTTGTGTGGACGCGGAGCGTCTTCAGACGAAAACGCCATTTCTATCCGGGCCAGTGTGGACGTTGCCTGAGTGTGTTGTTTGCTCTCCTGCACTGAACTTGTGCCTAGGCTCACCTGTGAGACTCTCACAGATCAGATACTGTGATCACTTTGTCCTTCCTCTCTCATCTTCACCATGCTAATCACATAGATTGACGAAACACTGACATGACTACAAACCTTAGTGAGCTTCCTTTATCTGTGGCACATTTTACAGTTTCATTAGAGATTTATTAGAGATTTTAAGCTCTAACTCAGACTCATGTGATTCGAGCCTGCGAGCTCCTCTCGGGGAAGCCTTACTTCCTGTGCTCACGGGACTCTGACGGGATAATCTTTGTGCAATTTAGACTTTTACTGTGGAGACGGGGATTCAAATTGTACTGTTTGTATTTGTGTCTTTTATCGTGTTCAGCCTGACGCCTCTCACGTGTCTGTTGATCAATAAAGAACTAACCCTGCTGTCTGGTTTCTCCTGCAGATTTCATTTAAAGTGTGAAACTGTGCTGCTGACACCACCTCCTCTCATGCTGCTCTGCTCTACGTTCCCTATGTCACGTACAGCATCGTCTGCAAACATGAGCATCACCTGTTGCCTCCTGCTGGATGATCCACAGCTGCTAGAGGAAACCTGACCTTACACATCTGGATCACATTAAGAATAGGGTCTGCAGTCCTTTATTTCTCAGTCACTTTGCCGTCAGAGCTTCTCTGAGCTTCAGTGCTTCTTTTGTTACCTGTTTGCCTGCAGTGCTGGTCTCCTGCACGTCTTCATTGTCCTGCACTGGCTGCCTCAGCGCAGGAATTTAGTGTCTTTTTATCAATAAGAACAGATTTATATGGATGAAATGTCATTCTTAGCTTCAAGTGAAAGAAACGGAGAAAACAAGGTGTCTAAAAATGACTTATATGAGAGACAAAAACCACCAGTAAAGAAAGAATCAATCATTTACATGTTAGTGATGGTGAATATAAAGCTGAAACCACAGAGGAGGAGCCGAGGAAACGTTTTCCCTCACATTCCTGATGTTGTGCCATTTGGGTGGAGCTGAGTTCTGTTTATCCAGCAGGTGGCGCTGTGCTCCTGCTCAGCCTGTGAGTGGAAGAAGTTTGAGTTCAACTAACTCGAATGATCGTTTGTGTTTTATGTTTAAAACAAAGAATCATGTGAAGCTTTCAGTTGAATTGTATTTTATTTGTCAGTTTGGAGGCCTGACACCCCTCCGGGCACCTTTGTGAGCGCTTATTCTGAAGCATTTTAAACAGGAAGTAAGGTGCAGTGTTCTCCAGTTAGAACTGTTCTTTGTACAGGTGTGTAAATCGTACTTTAGGCTGAGGCTAATTACTGGAGAAAGGAAAAGTTGTGATCATCAGAAAAGGTTAATGAGGGGCCACCAAACACCTGAGCCCAGGAGTGTGTAAGTCGGCGGTCTGGCCATGGTTCACGCCTCACTCTGCAGGGGTCACCAGTCTGATCTGATAAACAACATCTGCTTTATTTCCATTTCCTCACCTGTTCTTAACTCCAGCGCAGACACATCTGGACTGTTTGGAAGTGTTTTCACTCCTGGAGCTAACAGTTTCACAAAGCACCTGGTTGCATGTGTGAGTGCAGGTAATGATGGCGAAGATTCCCATGCTCACCTTTCAGAAGAAGCTGGTTCTCGCCAGACAGACGTGCAGAGAGCGTGAGAAAGCTTCGCGCCTGTTACGAATGCTGCTCTCACAGAACCACACGCTTTAAAGATGACAGAGCTACTGTGACTTCACCTGCTGGTTTCTGAAAGATCACATCCAGATGTTTTCCATTATCGCCATCTTGGAAAAGCGAGGGATGGAGCTACCTGTTAAAAACCTTTTTTTAACAGATGTATTTAATCAGGAAGTCCTGTGAGGATGACTACACTCTGATTCCAACTCGCTAAGTTTAAAACAAGGCTGTGCAGTCTCCATATTTCTGTTCCTGCTGGTTGCTGGATGCAAAACTTCTGTTCAAGCATTACTGAATTCAGATTTTACGAGCTGGCAGATGATTCCTGCTTATTTTTAAAGGAGAAAGATGAAAACCCCGAAGCAGTGAACCTTTCTCTGTAGTGTAAAGCGTGTCCTTTTCACACTGAAAGGCTGTTTTTTGCTTTGTGTACTTCACACAGGTTGAAAATACCGTCTCATATTTGGAGATTACTCCATTGAACGCTACCCCAACAGAGGTCGATTATCTTGTTAATAATTTCACCTCCTCACTACGTACGACTCTGGATACTGTCGCTCCTGTGAAAACTAAGGTCTCAAATCAGAAGTACCTGACTCCGTGGTATAATTCTCAAACACGTAGCCTAAAGCAGACGACTCGTAATCTGGAGAGGAAATGGCGTCACAAATTTAGAGGATCATCATTTAGCCTGGAGAAATAGTTTGCTGCTTTATAAGAAAGCCCTCCGCAAAGCCAGAACATCTTACTATTCATCACTGATTGAAGAAAATAAGAACAACCCCAGGTTTCTCTTCAGCTCTGTAGCCAGGCTGACAAACAGTCAGAGCTCTGTGGAGCCAACCATCCCTTTAACGTTAACTAGTAATGACTTCATGAACTTCTTCACAAATAAAATTTTTATCATTAGAGAAAAAATTACCCATAATCATCTCTCTGTGGGGAAAAAGGAGCATATCTGCATGAAGCTGACAGAGGCAACAAACCAATCGCATCCATTTCAGTTGTCAAATCATCAAATTCACCTCTTCGCTTGTTCGTGCACCTGCACAGCTTCCTTCCTTATTTCATTTTAAATAAGCACGTCATAACGGCCTCAGCAGTCACTGCAACTATGTTCCATGCAGCTCTGGTTCCCTGCAAACGAGGCTGAAACCCTGACACCATCCCCCGGGTCAAAGGGCAAACTCACAGCTGAACTCTGAACGCCACCCTGCTGTAATAAAAACGACTTCCTGTGGAGTTGTTCCTGTATGAGCTCATCATTATGATCTATAGTAACTGATCAAAGTGTGTTTGAGTATAATGTCCTTTGTTGTGTTACAGGATTTAGGATTCATGTTCAGGTCAACTGGGATCAGTGATGATGGAGGAATTTTACTGCACTCACAGAATTCCTAAACAGGAAAGATGCTCCACTGGATCACAGCAGGAAATAACAAACTGAGATTTGATTTTTTTATCTTATATTGGACAGATTTATTCAATGAGGTAAATTATTGTGACATCACAGGGTGATCGAACAATTAGCAGTTCACAGTAAAAACCAACAATCAGCTGAGAGAATGTTAATTAGTGGCTCAACAATCCTGAGGAGGGAGGGCGAGGGAGGGCGCTGCAGGCCCGCTAACCAAAATAATCCAGTGTGAGCTCAGGTTCAAGTGTTTGTCTCTGAAAACAGCGAGGCAGATACATGAGAGGAGGCTGAAGGAGAATCAGTCTGCTTTGGATTTAACAAATAACTCCTGTGACAGAAACCAGTGAGCACTGTGCAAAGGTCTGAGGGTCTGAGGATTAGGACTCAGGTGGAGCTCGGGATTCATCTACAGGAGAGCTGCATCATTACAAACTGAAGTCTGTGTGAACAGGTGACCTGGACGATGTGCAGAAGTACAGGAACGCCATTTACCGTCTGATCACGAGCCGTCCCACGTTACTGTGACACATGCATGTATGCGTGCTTGGCTTTCTAGTTTAATGGCAACACTGAGGGTGAGGGTTAGGGCCCCATTAATCTGACACACTAACACTTTTATTTGTCACAGATTCAGCAGAGAGAAGTCACTTCTAACACCGGGTTTAGAAAATATAGTGGCAAAGTAAAGTGCACATTTTGTAGTCCATCATCTATAAATTGTAGTTTCAACATTGTGGACATATACTCGTCTCTCACAGCGGTGAGACAAGTATGAGGCTGTTCCAGTTCTCAGCACACAGTTCTTCTCTTTTCTTAAGTTTTTAGCGATTCTCCTACCCACGTTTCCAATACTGGAAATGTGACTGAGGTCAAGGAACAGAGGTTAGAAGTAGGAGATAGGAGGGACTTTTGGAACACACCCTTGGAGTCTCTTTTCCCCCACCTTTGAGTCCAGGCCAGGTGTGGTTTCTCCTCGCTCCGGGCGTGGGTGGGTTCTCTCTCTGCAGTCAGGCCTCAGCTGGAGTCACCTCTGACATTTAAGGACCAGCTCAAGCATCCAATCCTTGCCAGATTTCAGGGTTAGGGTTAGGGGTTAGGGTCAGTCGGCTTCTTTATCGTTTCCTCGACTTCTCTGCACCAACTCTGTTCTCTCCCTGTTTCTGCTTTAACCAGCCTGGCTCATCAAGCCACTACTTATCTTCCTTCTCACTGTTGCCAAAGTGCTTGCTCAAAAGGGGTCATATGATTGTTGGGGCTTTCTTTGTTTGACTACACTTCTCCAGTCCGAAAGACATTCTAGTGTCCTTGCTGTAGATTCTAGTGGTGTGGATCAGCGAATTGATGTCTCGTTCACTCTTGGCATACAAGTTGATGTCATCCATGTAGAGGTGGCGACTGACGATTGCTTCGTTCCGTAGTCGGATTCATGGCCAGTTGTGTCGATGATCTCACTGAGGGGGTTCAACCTGGAACAGCAGTGGAACAGAGCATCTCCTTGGTAGGGCCCACACTTGATGATGACTTTTGCTGTGTGTTTGATGTATCCAGTATTGTACGCCACATCCCCACTGAGTTCCTGATGAAGGCTCTTAGGGTCCTGATGATCTTGTATAGTTCTAGGCATTCCAGGATCCAGGTGTGGGGCACTGAGTCGTAGGCCTTCTTGTAATCAATCCAAGCAGTGCACAGTCTTGCAGTCTTGGGGAACTGCTCTTTCTTCCAGTAGCTGGTGTTTTGCCTCTCGGGTGCTCCTGTTGATTCCTTTCTGTGTCCCACTCATGTAGGCAATATCCCTGTTCATCCTAGTCACTATGATGCTTGACTAGAGCTTCCATGTGGTAGTGATGCAGGTTATTGGCCAGTAATTGGATAGGGCCGGTCCCTTCTGGCGATCCTTGAGGATCAGGACTGTCGGCCTCTCCTGTCTTGTCACACTCATTGACTGCTACGGGTTTCTCAATGACTGTTTGCAGTTTCTGACTCAGTCACAGCGCCTCATTTGAGTCTGCTTTTGAGTCCAGCCTTAATCTACAGCCCACAAAACAGTGAGAACAACTGTTGACCCGTCCACAAATCATGCTCTGCACAGACTCAGCCGACCTGTTCTTTAAAAAAAGGTCTAAATTCTAAATGATGTTTCATTTGTGGTGGATGTCGGAGTCTGAGGCTGTTTTCACACATATAGTTGTTTATTCTGGTCCAGATCAGTTAATGAGGTAGTAAACTCACGAGTCGCCAAGCTGGTGGTGCGTACAGACGTGTACGCGGTGTCACAGCGCTCCCGACTACTGTGCACGTTTTTGTGTTTTTTATGCTTTTTATTGTGACTTGCTGCAATGCACTGATCACTTTCACTCGTCAGGAATCGATAGATGTCATCCATAGCCTGAACCTGGACTTTACTTTAGATTAGACACACAGTATTCAGAGATTGTGAGACCAGCAGGTGCTCCATGGGCTATTGTCTGGAACAGCAAGCAACACAGACGGCACTCCTCTCCCTGCACCTGAGCCAGGACCGCAACAAAACTCTGGTAAGGGAGGGGGGCCATAATGCATACAGAATTATAAAAAGTCACTGCTCACCAGACTTGGAGGCCATGTCCATTCAGTGCGGGCCCTTTTATCTACCTGCGAGCTAACAGTAGCCATAGTTATCATTGTTTACATCCAGAGGGCGTTCATGTTGTTGCTGGGGACTTTAATAAGGCATGTTTGAAATCTGTACTCCCCCAAAACCAACATGGTAAGGACACTTACCATGTTGGTTAGTTTTTCCCAGTGGTTTGGTTAGTTTTCACACAGAGAAACATTGAAGTGAACTCCAAGCGAACCAAAATGCATCACCACAAACTACGTGAGAATGTTCAGTCTGCCCACTGGTCACATGTGTCTGGGACAGGAGCAGTAAAACTAAACACAGGAGGAATGTGGTGTGTGAGAAAACTGAAAATTTAAGTTAACCAGCTAGCTGCCAGCCCGTACAGACCTGTGCACATTCATAGTAGCTTCCCACATTGAGAATACAATGCAGACATGGCTACAGTAGCTGGGCTGTTGGTTCAGATCGAGGTCTGATCCTGTTCACACCATTAACAAACCTCTCTGGAGTTGGTTTGGAACCATATCGAGAACACCTTCTCCAAAAGGGTCTCTGTTGTTTTGGTCCAAGTATGCTTACTGTATTCACACCTGCACCAACGAACCACACCGAAAAGAAAACCAACCAGAGTTGGGTTTAAACAGACTAAACACCCACCCTAGGCCTTTATACACTCAGTATGTAACGAATAAACGACTTGAAATTCAGATGTTTTTGGTTCCGCACACGTCGTGTAGGGTATTAACTCACTTGAAAATACCGAAAAATGATTCCTGAAAAATCATGCTGTGAGAAAAATGGAGTGGACAGAAAGTGGCATTGAGCTGGTTCTGATGTTTCTAGGTGAAGACTGGATTCTCAGGAAAAGGTAGCAGGAGGAGAATTTCCTGGTTTGATCCCGGAGTCGAAGCTTTCAGACGTACTTCCGGATGTCAAAGAAATCATTTCACAGAGCCGACTGACCCTGGGAGGCACCTAGCTTTGAGTCTGAGGGAAAACAGGATTATTTTACTTTTTCACATCACTGTGTATTTAGTACTGATGCTACGACGATGCTTGTTGCCAAACGCAGTGCTATGATTGGTCAGATCTGTTTATTCAAGTCTTGAAAAATCAGAAAAAGCCAACAAAAAAAATGTCGGGGGTTTAAAGTCTTACACAGCTTTTATTTTGAAGGTTTTTGGAAAGCTGAATGCACTCGGCTCATCTTCTGTAGTTTAAATGTGGCAGTAATTAAAATGTTCAGACATTTTTCACAGCATGTGAACAAGGGATTTTTGTTCATTAAAATATTACGTGTCATAGCTCAGTGGGCTACATACTGAACTCAGGCTGAGGGGCCTGGACCCCCGGGAGTCGTCCGCTGCAGTTATTGAATAATGTGACGTCATCTCCGCTTTATTTTGGAAAGGTTTGGAAAGAGTGGTGCTCTCTGCGGCTTGACTGCGCAGGTCCGCAGCTGGCGGCAGAGACAGACGCAGAGTTCGTCGTTCCCGGCTGGAGCACCGCCGGAGCCGCCTGCTTTGTTCGCCACAGGCTGAGCGCGAGGAGCCGGTGCTCCGGTGTTTCCAGTGCTTAGAGGAAACCTCCGTAGCTGCGAGCGCAGAGCGTTAATCTGCCGGGAGACCCGGCGGAGGGACCGGTGTGATTTGTGGGACGGTACACGGTGTAAAATGGCTCCCGGGCACCGCGAGCACCGACTCAGGTAAGAGTCCGCACCTGCCGCCGCACTGCTAACGGCTCTGACGCACTTGTGTCCGGAGGGCGGGCGAGGGGGGGGGGTGGCTGTGGCCGCGGCCGGTCCCTTTGCTTCACCGGACGTCTTTCTTCGGAGAGGAGCTTCAACGAAACTCTGTTGGAAAACCTCCAAAAATAAGCCGATTCTCGTCCTTGTGGACCTGGGCTGCTTTTGGGCCCTGACCCGGGATCTGTGTTCGGGTTTTGGGTCATTCGGCCTGTGTTTGGTCCGCGTGGGTGGTCGCTGTAGTCGGAGGTTGGTGTTTACCACTAAGAATCAGAGCGGGTGCTCGCCACCGCCCTCCGCGGCGTGATGTGGGTGGAACCCCCCCCAAAAGCCCCCATCAAAGCCCCCATCAAAGCCCCCATCAGCAGAGGCCCGGCGTGTTTACAGGGGCCCGCAGGCTGCAGGATGCTGGTGACCGGATGTTACTGACGGCGCCGCAGTACTGCGCGGGTCCGAGCCCCTCGCTGGGAAAGATGTTAAAACGCGTGTATTTTGAATGGAGTTTGGTAGGACTCGCTGTAACGGTGCATCTGCTGCTCAGATGTTTGGACTCATTACAGTCAGCTCCGCTGTCATCACACCTGCCACCTGTTTTCCGCTGAGTCTGCGCAGTTTGTCCGCTAGCAAACTAACAGGTTCAGGGTCCGCTATGACGTCACCCACACCTCTCTTACAGTTATGATTAACTTGAACTAAAGTGTGTATTTTCACAGTTGATGGGCTCGTGCTTCTGTGCAGCAAACGCTTTCACAGTTGCAAACAAATATGTGGCTATGACGTCATTACCGGGGCAGGCCTGTAACTGGTGAAACCTGTTCTGTTTACAGCAAACATCGATAAAGAAACCGGATAAGACGTATAAATATAAGTAGTCTTGATCCACCTGATTGAGCATTGATTAATGATTCATGGTTTCGTCACACTTGTTGCTTAGAGCCTTGAACCTGTGAGGTCAACACTGTCATCTCCTCTCTTTTTTTTTATTCCTCTTAAATGGCCTGTATTTGTATAGCACTTTCACTCGTCCCTAAGGACCCCAAAGCGCTTTACTCCACCCATCCACACACTGGTGATGGCAGCTACATTGTAGCCACAGCCACCCTGGGGCGCACTGACAGAGGCGAGGCTGCCGGAAACTGGCGCCACCGGGCCCTCTGACCACCACCAGTAGGCAACGGGTGAAGTGTCTCGCCCAAGGACACAACGGCCGAGACTGTCAGAGCCGGGGCTCGAACCGGCAACCTTCCGATTACAAGACGACCTCCCAACTCTTGAGCCACGATCGCCCCACAATCTTATTTTTATTCTGTAACAAAACTTTAATACAGCTTTTAGAATGAGGAGATCATGTATGGAGAGCAAACCGTATCAGGCTGTGCTCAGTCATCCAGGTGAGGAAGCCCTAAAAAGTTGATTCTGTTCATCCGGACGTTTTCAGTGAAGCGTTTCATCATCATCAGGTGACTTCTTCAGTCAGCGACAAGTGTGAAAACCTGCGCTCAGAGCCCCTCGCCGACGAGGTGACCGCCTTGGTGAGGAGGAGCAGCGGCCTCCTTGCCCCATCTCTGGGAGAGCCCACCCACCCTTCAGCGAAGGTCATATCCACCGTCTCGCTTCTTCACCTTCAGAGTAACCAGCGATAAATTCAGCCTTAGATTAATCGCGCGTTATCACACATTTCTGTAGCAACGTCGGGGCTGTGACTCCGCCTGGTGACAGTTGGCTGCATAACATGTAGGGCACACTTAAGTTAAAGCGTGCGTGTGGTCCGGACGAGTTGCACGCGTCTGCAGTCACAGTTCACGATTTAACGTGCTGACGACACTCGCACAGGCCGTGATGAAGACGAGCTGTGACGACAGATGAGATGAAGACGACGTCAGTTTATAACGCTGACTCTGAACTAACGAGCAGGTGAAACATGTCAGCGACTGTGTTCGTTTATTCTTTTTAGTCTAACCGAGAAAAAGGAAAAAACGGGAACTGCGTTCAGTTTCATCTTCAGCTGATCGGCACACGTCTGAACTTTATTACCTGTGACGAATCAGCAGCTTTTATCTCACCTGCTGGCGCCCACAGAAGGTACAAAAGTCCACCTGAGCACGCACACAGACGCACCTTTACCTGGAGCTGGTCTCATAGCGCAGGCTACAGATTTCAGCCGCTCCTCACTGACGAGCTGACGTCACAGATCAGATTGTTTAATCCCAGATAACCCGGATGTTTTTTGTCCCACAGAAGACGAAACGAATCAGATCTGCAGCCAGGATCTGATTCAGTTGCTGATGTCATGCGGCATCAGCGACGCACGCCATGTGACGCGTCTGCCGGTCTTGAACGTCTCGATTTCTGCAGCCGGGTCGGAGACACCCGTGTGCAATTGTCTTGGTTTTTCTCATTTTAATTATGCTCCAGGTACGCAAACACTGCGGCTCTTTGTCAGCTCGTGCGTTGATTTCAGGGGGAGGAGCCTGGAAGTCAGAAACAGTCAGCAGCAGTCGCACTGAGCATCCTGGACGAGTTCAGGTGTGTGCAGCCAATCAGCTCGTCAGCGATGATGAGCGTCTCCCATCAGCCAGCCTCAGAGCCGCGTGGCTACAGAAACACTTTAAATCTGAGTGATTGTCAGTTAGCAGAGGGGGCGGGGCTGAGGTGGCGATGAAAGCTGCTTTCATTAATCGTTATCAAGACTGAACAATTATCAAAAATACATTTATATTTAACTTATTGATCGATTATCAAAAATGAGAATTTAATCAGTCATTTCTCTGATTAATGTCAGTTATTGATCATCCTGCTGGTGAATATTGATTATTATTGATTACCTGTCAGTTCTGCTGGAGCTGGTCCGGTTTTTAAATCATTGACTTTCAGTCAGTTTGATAAAATGACGATGCGCAGGGACTTCCTGTTGTAGCGCGATATTTATCTGGCCTCAGCCAAAAGGCTGATTGGGGACCTTCACCGCCGAGCGGGCGGCGGCGCGGACACCCGACTTTGTCATCACGAAGTAAGGTTTCAAATGAATTCCGTAGCTGCAGCTGTTCTTGTTATGTTTATGAGCGTAAACCAGATTAATGCTGCGAAAGACGACATATTTTCACCTTAACTTCCTGTTTATTCCTTCAGAATAAAGCTCCAGGGTGAAGCGTTGTAGCTTTGGCTGACCACCTCTTTGTCTCTCTGTCCTCAGCTGATCAGCAGCTCCATGTGACGTCACTGCTTCTTCCAGCAGCGCTTCAACCGAGCTCTTCCTCCTCCTCCTCCTCTGCTGCAAGGTGGCATGTCGGCGGCTCAGACCCAGAAGGAGAGCAGCGAGGCGGGCTGGGGCTGCCTGGAGGCTCTGGGTCTCAGTCAGAAGGAGATCGTCCTGGCTGAGGCCCTGCAGATGGAGTACGATGCCCTGTCCAAACTCAGACAGGACAAGAGCGGAACGGGACCCAGCCAGACCGGCTCCAAGACCCCCAATCCCTCCATCGAGCGTCACCAGTCCACACCTTCCCCGCCGGGAGGAAACCTGCTGATGGGCCTTTCCGGGTCCGAATCCTCCCTGAACCAAGCGGGAGGGTCCCAGTCTCCACAGTCCGCCCCAGCCAGGGCCCTCCCCCCTCGGGGCGGCTATGTCAAGGAGTCCCCATACATCCTGGACAGTTCTGAAGTCTGCAAGTTCAGGGACGCTTCTGTGCCCAGCCTCGGGGACTCTCCCGGATCCAGTTCAGGGTTTCTGCCAAAGGGTTTTCCCGCTCTTCCAGATGACACACCCCCCGCCATCCCACCAAGAAACCCCATCCCACCACTGGCAGTGTCCGAGAACCCCTTCCTGCCCCCCCGACCCTCCACCGTGCCGCGGGACGTGAACCTGTTCATGCCCAACGTGGATCGGCCCAAAGTGACCTCCGGAGACCTGAACTATGACACCATCAACGACTCGCTGTCCCGACTAAATGACAGCTGGCAAGGTCGGAGGGCCAACGGCGACCAATCAGGCAAGCCCGTGGCCCGCAGCAAGACGCTCCCCCCTCAGGTGCCTCCCAGGACGTACGTAGCTGTTCCCAAGAGCAACAAGAACCAGCGTCCGGTCTCTGCAGACCCGGTAAGCCCCTCTGAGGTCGTGCGTCAGCTGTTTGTGTTGAGCTGTACTCTGATTGGCCACTTAAACAATTTCTTTCTGATTGCATTTCTAACACTGTTGAATACTGCAGTGTGTGATTATAAGCAGCATCTCTGTCATGAAGAGCTGCTTCTTCTGTAACGAGGGTCCCGCTGCACCCTTGGTGTCACTATGTTTCCACATGAATCAGACTCGAGCTGAACTGAAGCACACAGCCAGTTCAGCTGAGATGAATCCCAATACGTATCTCGAGTTCATCAGAACCGATCAGTTTAATTAACTCGCAGAAAAGTCAACAAAGCCACCAGCAGCTAATAAGTCAGGGGTGGATTCTGATGGGCTTCACCTGGACCTTTGTCACTTGGTTCTTAACACTCTCTGAAGGCCAGGTTAGATTGTGGCTGAGTGTGTCTCTCCTGATGTCAGCAGACCCCACCTGGATCATGTTTGGTCCAGGTGGGGTCCTTAAATTGTTCTGCTTTTGTTGTTGATCTGGTTTTGAAGATGATCTGGTCCTCAGCAGATCGTAGAGTTATTCAGATACAACCTGAGATGATGTGAAACACAGGACATCATTATTTATGCGCAGCTCTCTGAGCTCTGCAGCAGCTCGTTCTGTTGGAGATTTGCTGCCGTGCTCGCCGACCTGTCGACGGCCCGGTTTGGTCCAAGCTTCAGCTGTGATGACCTCAGATTTGAATACAGAGGAGTCACCGGTGCACTCGGGCCTTCCTTCTCTCTGCTGTTTGTTCTGGTGCTTTGTGGGAAGTTTGGGGTGAGTTTGATTGGTTCGCACTCAGGAAGACGTGGCGCCGTGCAGACACACCTGATCTGCAAAACCTCGTAGAGCTGCTTGCACTGCTGATCAGTAGATCAATATAATAATAATAATAATAATAATGGATTGGATTTATATAGCGCTTTTCTAGGCACCCAAAGCGCTTTACAATGCCACTATTCATTCACTCTCACATTCACACACTGGTGGAGGCAGCTACAGTTGTAGCCACAGCTGCCCTGGGGCAGACTGACAGAAGCGAGGCTGCCATATCGCGCCATCGGCCCCTCTGGCCATCACCAGTAGGCAAGTAGGGTAAAGTGTCTTGCCCAAGGACACAACGACCAGGACAGAGAGCCCAGGGATTGAACCGGCGACCTTCCGGTTACAGATGCGATTCTCAACCCCCTGAGCCACAGTCGCCCCTGCGTGATTGTCGGCACCCAGCTGCTGCTCTGAGCTCTGTTAGGTTAGAGCTGCAGACAGACGGCGGCTAAAATGTTGGCGCTGACGGTAGCCAACATGAATCTGAGTGCGACAGCAGAAAACAGGAAGTGTTCGTCTTTGAGGGGCGTTAATCGCCTCCTTCGTGTTTCTGAGAGCAGGAAACTGAATTTACATCATTGTCGATGTGTTTGTGTTCAGACACGCTGCAGCTGTGCAGCGGCTTCATTTAGAAAAACCACCCCCGCGCTCAGAGTTGTGTCACTTCCTGTCAGAAGTCCTGACAGGAAGTCCAGGTTTTCAGATGGTTTCTGGAGAAGTGCTGCGGTTTGATTCTCAGCCCTTCACATGGAACCCAGTCAGACCAGTTCCACCAGCTGTAACTTGAAACCAGATTGGCAGGCAGCGTCCTGACACGCTTCCTTCGCCGCGCTTGAACGTGCTCAGACTGACGCTTCAGTTTCAGCATTTTTATTTCCCTCAAAACACGAACTCATCACCACATTCTTCCTCCTCCTCCTCTTCCTCCTTCTTCTTTTTCTGCAGCCTCAATTTCATTTCCTGCCTCAGACGTTTTTTCAATGTTTAAATGGAACGTAAAACAATCCCCGCCACGCTTTAATGTCGACCACACACACACACACTCTGAACTGTGTGTGTGAGAGTCTCTGATTGGCTGTCTTTGCGTGTCCTGCAGGTGTCGCTGGGCGCTAGGATGAACGGTTTCGGGTACGAGCTCTTCCAGGTGTCGGAGGAGCGTGACGAGGAGGTGGCAGCGTTCTGCCACACGCTGGATGTGTGAGTAGCCTGTTGCCGTGACGATCACATTCAGTCACAATCCTCCATCTCTCCCTTGCAGGCGTCTCCACCTGCTGCCCTCTCACCTGTCTCTGCCCTCAGGCTGCGCTCGGCGTACCCGTGCTGTGACCGCTCAAAGAACGCCGGCTTTGTGTGGTCGCCCTCTGTCGGCCACGAAGAGCTCCATCAGGGCCTGGGGGTCAGTGTGAAGGTGACGGTCATCAGTGAGCACTTCAGAGAGCCGCTCACCTTTACCTGTGACAGTAAGACTGGTTTTTCCGTGAGGATAGAAATGTCTGACTGAAAACGTTAGCTTCGTATGAATATGCAATACCCAAACGCGACCGGCGCGCTGGCTGCCATCTTGCTTTTTAAAATTCATCTGGGACACGCCATTATTTCCCCGGAGGGTCAGTCAGGTCAGGTCAGGGGTTAAAGGTCAGGAGAGCAAACAGAACAGCACTGACCCTTCAAAAGTCTGCCAGTGCAGTTTAAAGGAATTCAGTCAGTTTTATGTCCAAGAAACGCTAAATTATGCTGTGATGTTATTTTACCCTGAAAGGAGCTGCTGATGGCATCCAGCTGTGCGTGCGTGTGTAGAGTTATACTTCACCTGTTTATAATACTGCAGCGTGTGTGTGTGTGTCCGAGGTTCGTCCACCGTGGACCTGCTCATCTACCAGACTCTGTGCTACGCTCAGGACGACCTCGACCATGTGAACGTGGACGACTACCTGCTGAAGGTCTGCGGACATGACGAGTTCCTCCACAAGTAAGAACCTCAGAACCTCGGGGTCTCCGAGCCGTGCCTGAACTCAGCATCTCTGTAGGGGAGCGTCCTCTTCCAGCTGATCTGTGGTCTGTGGTTCAGACATAATAACAGAGAGCAGAGCTGTGGTTGCTGTTACACCAGCAGCAGTAATGACCACACACATACACAGACAGTGCTCCAGCTCTGGGTTCACACACCAACGACGTCCTTGCTGTTTTAGGCTGTGTGTGCGTGCGTGCGTGCGTGCGTGCGTGCGTGCGTGCGTGTGAGAGATATCCTGGCGGAGCCTGGCTGGACTTCCTGTGGTGGAACAATGAGTGTTTATCACTTGTGAACAGCTGTCGGTCCGCCTGGCGCTCTGCTGGCTGTCGGTGTCTTTACGGCGTCACGTGTCCTGAAGTCTTTGAGACAGCCCGTTCGTCATGTTTCAGTACACTCAACATGCTTCACACAGACGTGTGTTGGTTTATAAGGACTAAGGCTGCAGTGCTGTAACTGACCTCAGGTCAGCAGACTGAGATATGATTGTGGGACAGTTTAAGATGTGCAGCTGATTACCTGAGAGGTGTGCTGGGTTCTTAACAGTGAGAGCTTTGTAATCTGAGCCAATGAAGTGCGTTCAGTACTGGCGTGACGTGCTCATATGTGCATGAAGCTCTGCTGCCGCTGATCTGGAGTGTGCTGCATGGACAGTTCCACATAGAGCAGGGCGATATGGCCAAAAATATTTGTCACGATATACACTTGAAGATTTGCGATAACGATATAACTGACGATATAATTGACTCTAGACAAAATACTTTACAACTCCACAACTTTATTAGTGCAAAACAACATCAATGTATTTCCACTTCAACAAGCAGCTGTTTTTAATGTGCATTAAAGTTATATAAACATGTAACAGAGCAAATTCCTCGCTGACAGTTTAACCAAAAGGCGTTTCAGTGGAAACTGGCCGACACATCCTCAGCATAACCATGTACAACATCCACAACACTTAAAGAGGTTAAACACACACAACACGGTAACATTATGCTGAAGCACAGTACGTATCACTCCGCGAGGCTCCGCCTACGATAGCCGTAACGCTCCAACAATCCATCAAGCGGTGCAACTTCGTAGCTCAGCAAAGTCGTACTGAAACATCTGCCAGATTTTCGAGCGCCGTGCACATAAACTCGTTTCAAGGTCAGTAAACACGACCAGAGTTCATACATCAGGCACACGGGATTATAAGGGGCTCTGTCGACTTTCAGAAAAATGGATTGATTTTAAGTGCGCCGTATTTTCCAAACAACGCGGTAATAACGACGGCCCGCTAGCATGCGCTACCAAAATAGTGCTTTGTTGTGTGTCTGAGAGTCGAAAGCTAAACCAGTTCCACACCAGTGAAGCTGCAGCGTTTTTACAAACCAATTCAGGTTCATGGTTTCATTCAACGATCCGCTCTCGCTCTTCTCGTTCTGCGTCACCGCCATGATTTGTCCACCATGTGTGTATGAAAACAAAGGCACTGCGCATGTGCGTTTTACCCGTATTCTATCGCCATGTTTCATTTTCTTATCGTTGCCCAACATTATACTGTGAACGGTATGATATGGCCCCGCCCCAGTTTCAGATATGAATATGTGATTTTTCAGACCTGAGATCAGAGATATGTTCGAGCAAATATTTCTGTCTCGTCTGTTCAGTTTGGGACATGCACCATTAACACCCGTCGAGCAGCAGTGAGTACAGCTGTGTGTCGTCTGCATAGAATGGTATATCATGGAGCATGCACAGGTGACCCAGCGATGGCCCGAGGGCTGAAACTTCGACCCTCTGGGGCGTTTTCACACCTTCTTCCTGTGGTTTGGTTTGTTGTCACACAGAGAAAAATCCAAGTGAACTTCAAGCAAACCACATCAGTGTTCAGTCCGCTCATTGGCCAGGTGTGTCTGGGGACGGGACCAGCACAAGTAAACACAGGAACAAGGTGTGTGGGAGAAACCTGAGAAGTTGGGTTGTTTCCCGACTTGCTGCTAGCCTGTACAGACCTGTGCAGGGTGAGAATACAAAAACACGTGGCTACGGGACCTCTTTTAGCTCCAGCTTGTGACGTGTTCCTGGTAGTTGGTTCAGGTCGGGTCACGTTCGCACCATGAGTGAACCGCTCGTTTTGGTCTGCAGCAGAGTGTGGTTACTGTGTTCATGCCTGCACCGCACCGAGGGGGATCGAACCAGAGCTTGATTTAAACAGACTAAACGCTGCAGGTGTTAAACTCCCTCAGATACGATGAGAGCCAGTCACCTCACCTGTTAAACCGGCTGGGTCCAAAGTCTGCGAAGCTTCAGAAATCCACTTAGTGAGTGGATTTTTCCAGCTGCTTTTATTGTGGAGGGGTTCTTAGAGGAAGCAGTATTGTGCCCTGTGTGTGTCTGACTGTGTGTGTCTTTCTGTGCGTCTCAGCGCGCAGACTCTGGGTGGGCTCGAGTTCGTTCAGCAGTGTCTGAAGTTCGACTGGGATGTCCGGCTGTGCCTCGTCAAGAGATCGTCCATCAGCATCGAGCTGGCCCGCACGGTACACGTCAACACACTCACTCACACACACAGCATATAAACCAGGGTGTGACCCGGTCACCCATCGCCATCACGCCACTGCATGATTTGAGTCTTTGTTTTTACAGAAAGATGACGATGAGACGGCGTCCACCATGAACCACAGCATCCTGCTGCAGGAGCGTCCAATCAAACAGACAGTCACCAGGTGAGGGGCGGAGCTCGCAGCTCGCAGAGGCACTCTGATTTCCTCCAACAGCTGATCAATCAATCACCGATTTACTGATAACATCTGTCTGTCGATCAGGGAGGCTCTGACCCTGCTGCTCGACACATTTCACAACGAGGCAGAGTCCTTCCTGCTGTCAGAGGTGACACACACACACACACACACACACACTGATGTGTGGCGCTGCGCTCAGTCTTGTGTTCACGTTGATGAGGTTTGAGTTCATGAATGTGAAGGGGCGGAGCTTAAACTGAATCCGGACTATCAGAGATTTCATGAAAACATAAAGTCAGACTCTGAGCTGCTCGCTGAGCCTCCTCCTCTGTCCTGTCGTCTGTGAAGGTGGAGCTGCCTCTGCACGTGGAGCGCCTCGTCCAATCCGTGAAGGCGCTCTGCAGCTCGTTGGCTGCCGTGGAGACGCCCGACGTGACCTCTGCCCTTAACCAGCTCCCAGCGTGCCCTTGTCGCCTGCAGCCCAAAGTCCTGAAGGTAAACGTGTGCTTCAGTGAGGCTCAGAGCAGGTGAGCGTGTGAGTTTGTTCACTGACGGGTTACTCTCATCTGTCCTCCCAGGATGCATCAGTGCTGGCTGTGAGGGAGAACAGAGGTACGTACTAACAGGAAGCTCTGACTGCTGTGAAACGCTGTAAAAGCAGCCTCGGGAACACTAAGAGGATGCACTGGGGGGGCATCAAGCTTTGGAGGGTAATGTAGTGACTAATGTGAGTCTGTTGGCCCCAACCAACCAATCTGGTGACGTCACATCTCCGTACTGACAGAAAATGGCGCCGAACTTGTTTTTTTAAACTTGAAGCTCTTGTTTCTTAAATCCAGCCTGACGGAGTTACACCTGTGTCAGTGTCTGAGAGCAGGGCTCAGCGTGAAGTCCTGGACAAACTGACAAAACACCACAAAGTCAAAGACATGACAGAAACAAAGAAACTAAAAGTTAAAGATGTGCCTTCAGGCAGGTTTTAAAGCTGTCGAGTGTTGCAGAGGTCCGAAAAGCCTGGAGCTGAAGGAAGACCATTTCCTCCAGGACTTTGGACACCAAAGGGAGTTACAGATGAGTCTTTTTTGAGAACTGGCTGCACTGTGGCATGTTTGAAATCAGCTGGAGCTGTTCCTGTTAGAAGGGAGGTGTTAATAATGGATGGCACGCTTGGTGCAAGAGTGTCAACGAGTTCTTTGAAAAGGCGAGTGGGGATAATGTCGAGGTGAGACACGGAGGGCTTAAGACGGGAAACTACTTCAGCCAGAGCGCCCAGAGAAACGAGCTCAAAGTGATTGAAAACAGGGGAACAGGAGGATCGTAAGCTGGAGGGATGCGAGTCCTGACAGCAGCAACGGTTTTCAGATAGCTGGAGACTCTGGAAACTGTGTGACGGGTTAATAACTGAATCAATGGTGAAATAAGACTCGGGTCTGTGGCTGTTATTAGAGATGATGATGATGAGTTTTGTGGGGCAGCAAACATGGATGTTAAAATCCCCAAGAACTTGACCCCAGATAACAAGTCTAGAATAAAACCTTTGTTAAGCTGGGGAGAACAATAAACAAGTGCACACAGCACAGGAGAATACAGATCCATCAAAGTAGTGATAACGCAGAACTACCATACATATCAGTGGCTTTAAATTTCACATCAGTGTGTGAATGGGTGGATGACTGGATATGTAAAGCGCTTTGGGGTCCTTAGGGACTAGTAAAGCGCTATATAAATACAGGCCATTACCATTTACCATTTAAAAATGGATGCACGACCTCCGCCATGACCAGTTAGCCACAGAGATTTGCAAAAATGACCGAAGCGATGAGTTCTGAAAAAGGGTTTAACTCACCAGAATCAAGGTTCAGTCGAGAATAAAACGCCAAGTCCAGGGAGGAGAAGAACCCACGAGGGAGCTGCTAACCAGCAATCAGGTGTGAGTACGAGTCAACCTAATCAAGACCGGGGACGGGTGGGAAGGGCGGAGATTCCAGGGAACCACCTCTACGGGGGGAGATGCGAAATGCCGTGAAGGTGGTTCATTAGCTGAGAGGAACCCAAATCGTCCGGCAAAGCTCGTCAGAACAGTTTGGAAAAACACCTTCCTGAAGCTACCAGGAAGCGCCATCCACAGAGCCTGGGATGTGGAGGAGTGTTACACACAACGAAGACACAACTTAGTCAAAGTGAACGTTATCAAAATGAGACAAAAAGGCCCGGGACAGACTCCATGCTGTAAATTTATGTTTCATGTCCCCTTTAAACAAAACGTCTGAGAAAAGTCCAGCTTCACCCAAACTACCTGCGCTGCAGACCACAAATCCAGCACGGTTTTCTGTTGCAAAGGCCTGCTCTCTTTAAACGTATGGATAAATAATTTGTTCACATTTTTATGTCACTTCATTGCATTTAATTCATTTCTTTAATACATTTAATTAATTTTAATTTTTCTTGGGGTCACGCGGGCCTTCCCGTCCCAGGCATCTCCCCCAGCTCTCTGAGGTGTTCCAGCTGGACACTTGACCTCTCCTGGGTGTGCCTCGGGGCGGAGCTGGTTGTAGGGGTAGAGCTACACCTGTGGGCTGTAACTCCGCCCCCACAGTCAGGACACTACCAGAGTGACTTCTTTGAACTGATTCTGTTTAATAAGTGACGATCCCGGTTTGTCTTCCTCTGACGCTCTAATGGTTCGCTGGCTTCTTTGTCGCCTCACAGAGAAAGTGGTGGAGAAGCTGACGGCGGCCATCTTGGATCTAGTGGAGCTGTACTGCAGCACATTTAATGCCAACTTCCACACGACGCCGCAGAGCCACTGCTGCACGGCGCCCATCCAAGAGGCTGGCCTCATCACCAACGTCCTCTCCTTCAACATCTACGCCGCCCACCGCATCCCCATCACGTGGGCTGCCAGGTAAGGAGCTCAAAAGGTACCCGCCCACAGGCTGAAGGGGGGGCGTCCTGTGTCAGTGCTGCAGGTTTAGGAGTCGCACAGTGCCGACTCAGTGGTGCTCACAACCAAACAACACACACACACCAAAGGTGAACTAACGGCAAACAAAAGGAGTGCCTCCGGACTCATGCTGCACCTCAGGGGATCCGAGTTACGTGCATAACCTCCAGGTTTTTTTGGGCATGGTGGTGCTCTCTGAGGATTCTGGGATAGATTTATCTGCTCGTGAAGGAGGTGCTGGGGGGGTCTCCTGTGAGTGCAGCGCCACCTGCAGGTGGAACAAGCTGAGCGCTTCGTGCTTCCTTTCTTCTCTCATTGTCGTTGATAATTGAGCCTCAATCACATGCGGGCACACGCAGACGCGCACAAACGCGCAGACACACACAGACACGCACAGCTTGGGTCGGAGGCGTGTTGACTAAATCACACTTCCATGAAAACATCAGAAATGAAGAAGAATAAAGAAACTCAGGTGGTTCTGTGATTGGGGACAGGTGTGAATATGTGCTGCACAAGTAACTCGCCTGTCCTGCTGTCATTGGTCGCAGTTATGAATGCTTCTTCCTGTCCTGCTCTCTGACTCACGGAGGGGCGGAGCTTTGTGCGCCGCAGCACACCAGCAAGCAGTCGGTCAGCAAATACCTGTTCCACCTGGTGGTCTGGGACCAGAGGTACGTACCTGACCCTTACCTGTCAGAGCCGTGACATCACACGCACGCACACCTGACGGCACAGCAGAGTCACTGCATCACTGAAACTATTCCAGCAGACAGAAGCATCAGACACACCTGCACACACCTTACCTGAGTTTAATAAGATGCTAAAAGTAAGAATTTCCTGTTCTGCAAGTGTGTGTGAGTGTGAGTGTGTGTGTGTGTGTGTGTGTGCACGATGTCTTTGATTTTGAATGAATAAACTTTAATCTGTTTGTTTGTTGAGAAAAACGCTAAGCCCCCGCCCCCTCGCCATATCCCCTGCAGGGTGTGTTTCCCCGTGCAGATCAATCAGCTGCCCCGAGAGTCTCAGCTAACGGTGGTGCTGTACGCCAGCCCTCTGCCGCCCCCCGGAGGAGCTGAGGAGAAGGGGAAGCAGCGGCGCAGCATCGAGGCGCTGGGCTGGGTCACCATGCCGCTCTTCAACTTCAGACAGTGAGTCACATGACACTCAGACACCATCCATCCACGCAAACCTCAAACAGGCGGATGAAGAAGAAACTGAATAAGTACTGTCGGATGTTATTCAGCCGTATTCAGGCTTTATGTTTGATGTGATACCCAGGAAAATACTACGATAGCATTCTGATAGCATTAAAAGTGACGCAGCATGTGGTCCATTTATCTGAGGTCGGTGATGGTGCTGCGCCACAAAGTGATGGGCGGTGTTTACACTGTAGTGAATGATATGCTGATCTATAACGTGTGAAATGTTTCTATCGGGTCACTCAGAGTGAGGGTTACAGTAAGAGTGTAGGGTAGAACACAGAGCAGGTACAATAACATGCTCAGAGTTAAAGGCTCCGCCCAGGTTAACGGTTGTGTAACGCTGTAGTACTCAGTATTGTTGAAATCCTTCAAAAAGACCTCAGGGTGGCTCTGCGTTGAGCCGCTGGTGAGGGGAGGGGCTGCGTTGAGCCGCTGGTGAGGGGAGGGGGGGGCTGCGTTGAGCCGCTGGTGAGCATGTCCTGGTCAAAAATGACTCCAAGGTTCCTCACAGCGTTACTGGAGGCCAAGGTAATGCCATCCAGAGGAAGAATCTGCTTAGATACCATATTTCTAAGCTTTTCAGGGCCGAGTACAATAACCTCAGTTTGATCTGAATTAAGAAGCAGAAAGTTAGCGGCCATCCAGGTCTTTATGTCTTTAAGACATTCCTGCAGTTTAACTCATTGGTGTGTGTTATCTGGCTTCATGCACAGATAGAGCTGGGTGTCATCAGCATAGCAGTGTAAATGTATGCTATGTCTTCTAATGATGCTGCCTAAGGGAAGCATGTATAATGTAAACAGAATTGGTCCTAGCACTGAACCCTGTGGAACTCCATAATTAACCTCAGTGTGTGAAGAGGACTCTCCATTTACATGCACAAACTGGAGTCTATTAGATAGATATGATACAAACCACTGCAGCGCAGTACCTGTAATACCTACAGCATGTTCTAATCGCTCTAATAGGATATTATGGTCGACAGTATCGAACGCTGCACTGAGGTCTAGCAGGACAAGCACAGAGATGAGTCCACTGTCAGAGGCCATAAGAAGATCATTTGTAACCTTCACTAAAGCTGTTTCTGTGCTGAGCTCTGAAACCTGACTGAAACTCTTCAAATAAACCTCTGCAGATGATCTGTTAGCTGTTTGACAACTACTCTTTCAAGGATGTTTGATATGAAAGGACAAAATGAAAGCTACGCTTTCCCCTGTGGTGTGTCCATCCTGATTTTTTTTTTTTTCTTTTCATTTCATGCTCACAGCTGAACAAACAAATGTTTCCTTCAGTCCTGCAGCTTCCTACACAGGCTTTGTGATGTCATTTCCTCCCAGGAGCAGCTCGCTTCCTCACATTTACCTGAAAGTCCAGAGTGGAAAGAGAATGGAAACAGATTCTTCATCATCATCTTTATTGTGTGTGTGTGTGTGTGCGCGTGCGCGCGTGTGTGTGTGTGCGCGTGTGTAGCGTGCTGACGTGTGGCAGGAAGTTGCTGGGTCTGTGGCCTTCAACCCCGGGGAGGAACGGAAACGCCCGAACAAGTTCGCCCAACTTCAGCCAGCCGGACAGCGTCATCCTACAGGTGAGCGCTGCCACAGCTGCTAGCACCTGAATAGTCTGTGACATCACAAACCTGTAGCATTTTGAGCCGTTTCATCAGCTGTTCAGGCGACGTTTTCATTGTCACCAGTCACCAGGATGGGTGATGAAACGTGTCTACTTACCTGTGTGCTGGATGCAGGTGTGCCCCTTTCTTTATTTATACACTCAGTTCAGCTGAGGTCAGACCTGCAGGTATCTGAGGCCAAGAGACTAGCATGTGTGTGTCCCTGCTTCCTCTCAGGTGGACTTCCCCACATCATCCTTCGAGGTGCGCTTCAGCACGCCGCCTCCTGCAGACTTCTGCCCTCAATACAACTTCTCCAGACTGGACACCATCAGCCAGATACAGCTGCAGGACGTCCTGCACAAGAAGGCCTTCTTCTGGTCAGACACACACACACACACACACACACACTCACTCTCTCAAGGGCTGTATCCCAATTCAGGGTCTGCAGCCTATAAGGCTGCATTTTAAGGCCGATTACATCACAGCGACGCAACGAAGGCTGTCCCAATTCAAAGGCTGCTCGAAATGCGGCCCTCAAATGCGTCCTTAATTTCTCCGGATTTGAAGGATGGGTCGGTGTAGCCTTCATGGCCCAACATATCCCAGACTTCATAGTGCGGCAGTGGGTGTGGATGATTTTGCCGAAAAAAACAGCGGACAGCTGAAGCGGAGCGGCCGAAGAGTAAACTTTTAAAAGTAAGTACTGAATATGACGTCACTTATTTATGTGCAAATGTTTAATAATGAAGAACATTAAAACATTACTGTTGGCCACATGTCGGCAAAGTTATGTGACGTTTGTACTAACTTGTTTTAAAGCCTTTAAATATGCACCGTTCAATAGCTGAGCTTAATCTTGCAGAGATTGTGATGATTTCATGGATAATTAAAGTCAGTCATATATCCACAAACACAACAAGCTGAAAGTCAGTGATGCTGCTCGGTTTGCAGTCCTGAACATCACGGCACAAGCAGGATCCACTGCACTGTTAATGTGAGCTGTGTTATATTGCTGCCTCTGTTCGGTGGTGTCGAGCCAAACGCACTTTAACATGTGTTTGAACGAGCTGACGGTTCACTCGTTAAGCTGAAAGAAAGATGCTTTAATCACAGCACTCACACATGTGTCCACTGCTCCATCTGGAACTCTTCTTGTTTACACTCGTAATAACACAAACACTAAATCCTGCTTCTCTGGTGCTGTTGTGTAGCAGTGTGTACACCTGAGACTGTCACCTGTCTGTCCTGCACTCTCTCTGTTTCTTTCTCTCTGATTGTGGAATAAAAGTATGAACATGTGTTTATAAGTTACACTTGTGTTTGAATCCTGCAGCTTATCACACATTTGATTTCCATGTGTGACGACTGCAAGTGTCCAGAGTGAGGACAGACTGAGGGACCCACTGCTGCACATCATCTGTGAGGCTTTGCACCCCTGATGATCCACCAGGACAAACTCAGCAGTGTGTGAGGAAGAGGAGGAGGAAGAGCCAGCAGCAGCTGACAGATGGAGAGAATAGACAGACTGTTCCCTGTTTGTGAAGGACTGCTAGGAAAGTTTAACATAACTGTCTGTGCTGAATCAGTCTTATTAGGTAATGTTCAAATAATGTGATCATCCCAGTGTTTCCAGTGTGGGAGAAAGTACTCAGGGCCTTCAAGTTACACACTATGAAAGGCAGCAACAAGTTTAATGTTCAGAAACCTAAAGTCTGTATCAGCAGCAGAATGGAGCTAAAATAAATGTTGGTTTCAGTTCTATGAAGCTTTGAGTATTTTGGATCAGTAGCTGCTGTGTTTGTTGCATCATATTGCTGTAACTGTTTATATGCTTTATATATTCTGAGCTAAGTTGATCTATAGTGTTACATCATATTCTATAAGGATGTTATGTGTTTGTAGACTTTCTGCCCAGTTTGACCCATTTAGCAGACGTCAGCCTGTTTAAGGCTCTGATATCTATTCTGTGTGACTTACAGCAGTTATGACAGGGTCTGATTTTCTCACCCAATAAAGGAATATTTCATATATCAGTCTACTCTTCATTTTATCACAAACAGTTTTCACAGCTTGTACATTTGCTTTTTACACATTTATGTAAGCATTGAGCCAAATTTAGTAATGCCAACATATTAAAAGAACAATATTTGACTCATATATATAACACATCTGTATACACACTGTCACAGATACTCGTCTTTGAGTGAAGATTTAAGGTGATAGGAAATATAAATAACTGCAACTTAAATCTTTGACCCAGAGTTCAAGCTCTGCTGTAATAAATCATAATAATCTGACAATACTATAATATTGGCCATATTATATTTACATTACCACAGTGAGATGACTTTAGTCTCATGAACAACATCAGCTAATTGTTATTTACTAGCTAATCTTAAATGACTGTTCAGCACAGGAATGAAGCCCAACAACCATGTTTTTACTGTGGCCTCAGCCTCAACTAATCAAAGTGATGTCTTAAACAAAATTAACTTAAAATCTATTTCTCCTTCATTTCTGTCACACAAAGCTGTATGAAACGTTTCTCGCGGTTAGTATCATGGTTGCTAGGCAACCTGAGCAGCGCGACGAAGGCTAGACCGTCCCATTTCACAAGCCTCTCACTTCCGGCCTCAGTGGTCTTTGAGTACGCGGCCCTTATGGACCGGTAAGGCTGCAGACCCTGAACTGGGATACAGCCATGTTCTGACTGGGATTAGTCCATAAGCATTACGTTCTGAGGGGCGGGCCATAGTGGAGCTGAGGTGTGGTGAGACTGCAGCTGTGTCTGCAGGTTGACGGTGGAGGACAAGCGTCTGCTGTGGGAGAAGAAGGCCTTCTGTCAGGCTGAGAGCGCCGCGCTGCCTCTGGTTCTGGCCAGCGCCCCCTGCTGGGAGTGGGCGTGTCTGCCAGAAATCTACGCCCTGCTGAGACAGTGGGCCTGCCTGGGTCACCTGGACGCCCTGGGCCTCCTCCATGCCTCGTACGTTCTCTGCTCGTTTCTGTCTCTGCTGGCAATAATGTCTGAAACAGGTCGTGGTGGTGATGGTTTGTTATCGCCTCGTTGATGTAGAACACGGGCAGCTCTGTTCTTCAGGTGTGATGATAACAATAATGAAAAAGTTCTCACCAGCTGAGTGTGACATCATCGCGTGTGCTTCAGGTTCCCAGATCAGGAGCTGAGGAGGACGGCGGTCCAGTGGATGGATTCCATCTCCGACCCGGAGCTGCTGGATTTCCTGCCTCAGCTGGTGCAGGTAAGAGGTGGAAGTGCAGCAGGTGGGCGGAGCAGTGGGCGTTGATGTCTGTAACCTCTCTCTGTGTCTCAGGCTCTGAAGTACGAGTGTTACCTGGACAGCTCTCTGGTTCGTTTCCTCCTGCGGCGAGCCATCGGGGACATTCGCGTCGCTCACTACCTGTTCTGGTGAGTCCGCCCCCGAGTCCACTTCAGTCACATCTAGCGTCTCTGAGCTCAGCTGCTCATGTCTGTCTGTGTGTGCGTCAGGCTGCTGAAGGATAACCTCCAGGACAGTCAGTTCAGTGCTCGCTATCAGCACCTCCTCGCTGCGCTGCTGTGCTGCGTTGGTCGGGGCCTCCGGGAGGAGTTTGACCGGCAGTGCTGGCTCGTCTCCATCCTCGCCAGGGTGGCTCACAAAGTTCGAGAGGCGACGCCGTCCAGCAGACAGGTAATGACGCCGCCGCCGGTCCAGATGACTCGTTCACCGGATCAAAACTAAGATCAAGATTCATGCTGTCGTGTTGGGGGGTCCTGCTGTCCTCTGCTCAGTTTGTGTCAGAGGGCAGAAAGCAAACGTCTGGTGAGGCGTGTTCGTTCACCTGTAACACACCTGTAAAACTGAACCATCGCTCCAGTCTTGAAATGATTTGATTATTTTAAAAAATAAGGCTTTTCAGCTGCTCCCTCATTCACAGTGGATACCAGGTCTCCTCTGACTGTGTAACACCTGCTGAGCCGCCATTACTTATGACATCAGCGTTTGAGGTCATCAACAAAGAGTTCATGTAGAGTGCAGATAGTCCAGCAGGGGGCAGCACAGACTACAGGGTTCGTACGGGTGCTTGAAATCCTTGAAAATGCTTGAATTTTAATGTTGTCTTTTCAAGGTTTGAAAAGTGCTTGAATTTCAGATGTGGTGCTTAAAAGTGCTTGAAAGTGTAACTGTATTTCATTCATCTGATTGAATAGTTTTCTTATCAGATAGAGAAATAAAATGAGTCGCAAAATGTAAAAGCAAAATTTCCCCGCCTGGGCTGCCTTGCGTCTCTGTCTGTTTCAACGTGTAACCCCGCCCCTCCCTTGGCCAGTCGGGGATGAGTGCGCTAACATACTGTAGGTTCTGC